TCCAACCTCAATGATTCTATGATTCTATGATTCTATGAATATCTAACAGAATAAACGTCTTACAAAAAGGCAAAAAGAGTTTGAACATAAAAAGATGCAATGTTTCTAAACTCAGTATCAGATCCATTATCCATTGGATAATATCATATCATTATCCATTGCTTGAGCTCTCTAACCCTTTTCTGCTGCAAGTCCGTAGCGTGTGCTTCATTCAAACTGCTCCAGACAGGAGCTTATTAAAACTACTTATCCGTTAATGGAACTACGAACACCACACAATACACAAGTCTTTAGAACAAGGTAGCTAAAACAAGATAAGTAGGATTAAAGCATGCCTTTTCACACTATTCAAGCAATTTGTTCCCCAGACTTATTTGTCAACTTGACTTGAAAGATTATTATAAATATGGAAGAAAAGGGCAAGGGTGGAAAAAAAAAACAGTGTTCAGACAATGACATTGTAAAACCATATTCCTATTTCAGGGATGTGAAATAATTTATAAGATAATACAACATGAAGTATTTTCCATATGTAATAGTTTATTCATGCCAGAGGACAGATCCAGTTGTAACTCATCAGTGGAAAAGCTTAACGCAGTAGCTGCAGAGATAATTCAAACAGTAACTGTAATTAAAAAACACAACCAGGAAAGTGCTTCCTATGAAAACAACAACAGTAATTTCCATTTATAATTGCTTTCTATGACAATCACAAGCGTCTTTACAACAGAATAAAGGACAGCAATTAGCACTTCCCAATGATTAAAACCTATGAGCAGGATTTTGTGATTTAAAAATCACAAAAAGTTATAAATAAAAGCACAGAGTACGAAATTTGTCAGATAAAAGTTTAAAACAGAAGCAGCCTGACCTGAAATGCCCACACCCAGCTAGAAGCAGTATCTGTTCTCAAAACTGGTCTGCATACAAACCAGGACTGGTTTCACCAAACCGATAAACTCTAAAACCAAGACAAAGGCTATGTTGGCATTTCAGTGGGCTCACATGGCAACTGACAGCAATTGAAGTTCAGCTCTGCTAAATCATGATAAATAATATTTGCATACTCTTAGCCCATAGCAAGCATGAGGGACGGTAAGAGTCTGTATAGAAAGAGGCTTAACATAAGCCAAGTGACATTGCCTTTCCCATGAACGGAAATCACACGGTGACTTATCTAACACATGGTAACCTGCCAACCCCTGAGACTTGAAGGTTGAGTCTATCAACAGCTGGTCAGCTTTATGCAGTTTTTGTTCCTTCAGTTTAGAAGCAGGTTTAAGCTAAAACTAAAGATGTCAGTCAAACCAAAAAAAAGCGTCCACATAGGGCTTAGCTCAACTGAATTAGCTTCAAATCAGTCTTAACCTAAAGAACAGCTATAGCTAATTCAGCTTTTAACATGATCAAAGCAAATTGTATTAAGAATTCCTCTTTGGCTGGAAAAGATGGCTGCACCAGCCAGCTCAAATAAGCTCCATACCTAGTCAAATCTGTCCAAACACCTTTGTACTGTAGAGCGACTGCACATAAGGAGGGTCTGTACATGTGACCACCTCACCAGTTATTGCATCCTCTTCAGATGAAAAACCCTGTATCAGAATTCCCGCTATGACCTTGTTGAGGGCTGGGGGACAACACCACGCAGCACGAGATCAGCAGAAATGTGGAATGGCGAAAGCATTTAAGGAAGAGAGAGAAGCAGCACCAAGACAGAGGAAGTAAAGCAGCTGGCTTACAAGCCATCCCACCAGGCACCGAGCTACAACAAGCTGGCTACTCCCAATAGAAGTTTCTGCTCCAAAACAGTTCACGTCCAAAGACAAAAAGCATAGGTAGGAGCAGCTACACCCTAGCTAAAACCAGCTGCTGAATGGTTGTAGGCCCTTAGAGGCTCCAGGAACAAGGGGCTTGACATCAGGCATTTTGTTCAGTGCTAACACCAGAGGAAGTCAGATTTTAGAAGAAAAGTGAGACGATAAGCCTATACAACAGAGAGTTTTGATTGTAATTTCTGCTAGCATAATCACTGGTGTGCAGTTCAGGCCATGCCTGATAAGAATAAATCAATATTACTTTCCTTTGGTGTTTTGTGAATAAATCACTCTAGAAAATACCCTGACCTTGCATCATCAATTTCTGTTTTATGGGAAGTGAGCTGCTGTCCTTAGGCAATGGCAAAAGTATGCAAGGTTGTAGAACATCAAGAGAAAAAGAGCGAGCCTGAATAACGATGGACAAAACATATTAACAACCCGTCCTGACTTGATTAACTTGAAATAAGATAGCCCCAACCCATAAAGAATAATGTTTTTTCTAGGATTTTGGGATGTTCAGATCTGTGTCTTCACTTCAGGTTCAGAACATAAAAGTTCAAGGGTCCAAATTAGCAAACTATTTCTTCCCATAATAAAAGACTTCCATATGAACCATGTAATAGATAGTTCTTAGCATCTCACTGGGTCAGGCAATGACACACACAGAAAGCTTGCAATATACAGAGATGTAACAAAATGCAAACACTCTGCTAGCTCTAGTCAAACTCTGAAGAATTTACCATAGTAAAAAGCAGGTGCAACACACTGCATATAATAAAGTGCCAATCCCAGCAATATGTCTGTGTCTAACTACAAGATAGTTCCACAAAAATGTCACCTCAGCGCTCAGTAGCTGTCACAGAGCCAACTGAGCGAGGACAGGAGTTATTAGGAAAGAATAAATCTGTGGTTCCCCACACCTTGAGAACTTTGCATTTGTGGTTCCCACACCTCATCTAAGAAGGATGTTGAAATGCAAAAGGCCCAGAGAACCACCACAAGGACAATCTATAGGCACAAAACAATGTCAGTACGGGTAACATTTAAAGAGATGAGGATTCTTCAGACTGCGTATCAGAACTGAAGAGGCAGTACAGGATGTGTACTACCGTGACAACAGGACATGATGCTCACTGTTCTAATACAAGAACCAGAAGGCATCAAACACTGCTAGTAAGAACCAGGCTCAAGTCAAACAAAAGCAGGTGCTTCTTCACACAGGCAAGGCTGGGCTGTGAAACTCCCGAGTAAAGGATGCTGTAGATGCTAACAGTCTACTGGAGTTAAGAAAAGAACTGGACAAATTCATGGAAGAGAAGTCCATCAATAGCTGCCAAATAAAAAAAAAAACAACCAAAACAAAAACCACTACTCTCTGACTTAGGAGTCTCCAAATCATAAAATTTCTGGGAGAATTTTATAGTCTGGGAGAACACCACTATCTGTTTAAGAACTGTTAAATTCTTCCCCAGATTTTTCCCCAGCTAAAGGCCACTGTCAATGCAAGATAGCAACCTAGAAAGACCTTGAACTGTACTGTGTCCATTCTTGTGCAGGCACCTTTCTTTTTAGCTAATAAAACCCTTCTAAACATGAGCATCATTTCAATGCAATTGCCCATACATTAATTTCATAATGCTTAACTCACTTCCCCTCTTCCCTTGCCTTCCCCCTCTCTCTCTTTTCAGATTAAAGAAAATCCAGATGGGGTGCAGGTGCTGCAAAATGATACAAAGGTACAACAGAACAAGGGTTGCTTAGACTGAATAAAAGAAATGCATTAAAACATGTGTCTGTGCTCCCATACAACTGTTGCTTAAATTAAGCCTATTTACAAGGCTCGAGTTTTCCCGAAGTTTACAGTACCTTTAAAGTCATGCCAGAGCATAGGCATTCCTGTGAATGTCTTTTTGATTTACTGTAATTAAGGTCCATTTCTATAATTCCTATCCCACAGAAAAATTGCGTGGCATTGAAAACTCACCTCTAGCAAAGCTTTTTCTCATTTAGGTAGCATGACTTTCCCTCAATTCAGTAGAACAAGGAGCACAGGCTTTGCCAGATCCTCCCTCTCTCCTAAGCAACGAAAATGAACTACAGATCCTTGCCTCCATCATAACTTTTAAATGTAGTTAGTTGTGGGAACAATTCACACATTAAAAGTCTCCCTGGAGAGGGACTAGCTACTTTTAGAAAGACAACACTTCAGCCCCACTTGACGGTTACTCCTTCCCTTGGCCACATCTCTAGAACAGGTAAGGAAGCGGGAAAGAAAACTGGTGCTATGAGAGAAAGAGGAGAGATAAAGGAAAGGGAGGCACTCTGGAAGAAATAAGTCAAGGAAAAGTTAGGAGCAAGAGAAAAAATTAAGTAAGAAAGGAAAAAGGAGGGGACAAAAGTAAAAAAAGGACAAGAAGATACGACTTGAAAGGAAGAACACCAGGAAAAAAAGGGAGATATTTTAGCAACTACATGAGGACATATTAATTAACAATCTATGTGGTGACTACCATTGGCTAATATACCCCTCAGAGAAAATAAAAAATAAAGCTGGAAACATGCAACAACCAGCACAAGGTTCTCTGACATCCTCCTTATGCTCTTGGTGAATCTACCATTAGTTATGGTCAGTCCCAGGAGACGGCAGCCTACAGCACAGTTCAGCATTTCCATTAAGTTTAGCTCATTCTCAGAACCCCAAGTAAAGCTTAGTGACACCAATTCCTCAAGATCTCCAGCTTAAAAATTAAGCTTAATCCTTCTACTAATTATATTGATTAACAGCATAATTAACATTTCCTCTACGAATTTTCCTTACTCCAGCTTTATTTTTCATCCAGAAGAAGTACAATCGCCTGCATGCGTTCATGAAGTAAACAGCTACGAACACAATGAGCAAGGCAGCAATAAATCCAAATTCAAAGAGGATAGTGAAATTCAAGAACACAAAAATGAGCTCCAGAAGGATAAGCCAAACAGAACAGAAAATAAAACCCAGGTAAGTAGCACAAAAGAAACCCTCTGGAACCACGGAGACAATGATTTTCAAGAGGATGGCCTTGTGAAGTGTGTTGCAAAGCTTGATGTTGCAGTCAATGGTGGCAACTCCTGCACTGGAGTGCACCCCATGCTCAATCCCAACACAAACCCAGTGAAAGAAGCCAGTGAACAGGGATTCTCCAGCCAGTCAGCAGAGTCTCCTTCAGCCAGCAATAGAGACTTGTACACCAAATTAAATAGGTCCGGCCAAGAACTTGACCTAGAGGCAGGCTGTCAGAGGAAGGCAGCCTGCAATGAGCCAAACAGTATTCAAGATGGGAACTCCCGGTCTGCAGACAATAGCTTCTTTCTCAAAGGAAGTGCAATACTGAAAACACAAAACAATGCCATACAACTGCCAGATATTGATTATCCCAAAAATGGCAATCAAACCAGGAACTATGTTGAAAAAGCTAGCTTTTCAGTCAACTGTGTACATCCAGACCAAAACACTGGGCCTTCAGCAATACAGGACCAGGACCTTTGTGTAACCCCACCTTCACTTATGAAGGAAAGCAGTACTGAACCTTTTAAAACTGACTCCGCAAGTTTGAGTGAGGGCATTCCTGGTGGTATCACTGCCATGGCTGTTACCAAAGTAGCACAGGTACCCACATGCCCTGACCATGAAGACATCAATGGAGAAATTGAGGAGGAAGATGCGGAAGTAGCAGCAGCTCTGGCTGCACTGGAAGCTGCAACTGCAGGGGAAGACTTGGAAGATGACGATGAGTACTAGCTAAAGGTTTCTTTCTAATACGCTGGGTAAAATCCAGATTTTATTTCTGGATCTATATGAACACGTGTACAGCACATGCAGACAGCTGTTTTGAACAGCATATATAAAAGGAGTTGGGACTAAACTTATGTCCCTTCAGCTGTTTTATACAGCCTTTTAATTTCTACTGCCCAAGGTACAGAAGCACTCCCTTGGCTAATGGTAATACTAACACTCTCCTCTATGGGGCCAACCAGGAGGGCAAAGCATAGTTTCTTCCACACAGGATATTCTCCTGTATACCCACCACACCTGGACTCATGTAAGCATTTCCTTTGGTTTTGACCCTTAAGAGGGTCTGCGCACACTGCATGTTCCAGATTCAGAAAACTTCCGTTATTTAAAACAGAACTATAGAAGCCATGGAGTTAGAAACCACAGATTTTCATCATTTAGCACAAAAAAATAAAACTGACCCAAAAGTTTTATGATCTAATGAAGTACGAAATAGGGAAGGCAGCTTGGCTTGCACTGCACTGCAGTTACGGTTCCATTCCAGCTTACGCCTAAATCTGTGCATGTGCAACTGGCACTAGGATGATAACCTCCTCTCTTCCCTTACACCTCCCCTGGACTTTGTTTGATACCCAAAGTGACATGCTTCAGTTCATTAAAACAGCAGAAGCCTAGCCAAATCCAAGAGAGTGGGTAACTTTGTTGGCTTAATGAGCTGAAGTAGCTCATGTAAGAATTGCATACACACTATCAGAGGCGCTGAAGAGGGATCAAAACTCAGTCCTACCAGTTTAGATAGATTAAAGCTGTTGTAAAACTACAGCCTGAGACCTCTCAACTCTGCCAAATTTACCAGGCACACATCACTTGCCTGAACAATACGGTTTGCAAACAGGTTGTGTCTCAAACTTCACCAACAAGATGAGTTTTGTTTATATACAAACAGCAAGAGCCAGTGTGGACCCATCTCTGGCTCTGCTGCAGTCCTTAAACTTACAGCAGGAAAGGGATTAAGCTTCCAAGTTGAATTAAGCGTAAGACCTGAAAAATATCAGAGCTGCATTCCTGGAGTGTTTACCCTTTCTCTCATCTTCGGACTAGTATGTTAACCTTTCTTGCGGGAAGCAAAGGAGATAGAGACCAACTTGGTGCTGCCATTTCATTAAAAGTGGGATCTTAATGGTTGAAATAGAAAGTGCTTGACATTTTATACTGAAATTTTGTGGTTTCTGAGTCTGTTATAAACTCTTAATAAATTTTTTTAATCATATGAAAAATCATCTGGTGGATTTTGTGCTTTATGCATTTTCTGATAATATAACAGTTGCATAAAAGAAGTACCATAAGATATATCCTTCATTAGATACATGAAAAGCACCAACTATGTATTTGCCAACAGTATATGCTGAATCCAAGTCTAACCATTAACACACATAAGTATCAGAATATTAGGAGGTGGGTTTTAAGTAATGTGTAGATATTTAAATTATTTCTGTTTAAATGCAGATTCCTTCTTTTCCTCCAAATACTGCAAGCCCAAATCAATATTTCAATTTCTCAAAACATTAACGATATACCTAGAAGCAATTAAAAAAACCTAAAGTCTCGAGCTTCAAGAGAACTATATTCAGCTACAGATGAAAGTCACCACATTGTATCTGTAAAATAAAAAAGCTTTATGTTTTTAAAGTATTGTAGTACTGTTGATTTCTCTACCACTTTCCTACTTTAATAGGCCCTTCTAAGCATTTTCATAAGTGCATACAAGCTTTATGTGCACATCTGTGTAAAGATTACTATAATACTGAATGAAAGTGAAAGACTACTTGCACATTGCATATTACTAGTTATGGTTATGACAGGACATAGCATCTGTCTGCTTTTATATTGTAAAGACCCTGAGGGCATCACCAGGCCTGCTTGTCCCTGCCCACCTCCAGGGGCTCCCCCTGCCCTTCCAGGGCCCAGGACCCCATTTCAGCCCCTCAAGGCCATCAGACCCTGCCCCAGCTCCCCACAGCCCTGTCCAGCCTGACCACGGGCCCCACTGAGCTGGGCCTACCTGCAGGCCAACAGCCCAGCCCAGCCTCAGCCCGACCCCAGGGAGGCACTTGATGCCCAGAGGTGGGGTTGCCCTGGCGCCCCCCCACCCTGCCCCGGTCCCTGGCTGGGGCAGTGGGACAGACCCTAGCTGCGAGGCCCAGCCCTGCCATCCCCGGGGGAGCCTCCACCACTCTCCACATCCCTGCCCCAGGGAGCCGCCAGCCCCTGCTGCACCATGACACGAACCATGAAAAGTGATTAAGTAAAAAATGTTAAAGAAAAGAAATGCAAACACCCCAGGAAACTTACATGATTTTTCAATATCCACTTGATTAGATTTTTCTAACCTGAACTCCAACCTGAATTTCAAGTGCAAATCACAGCAAGTTTTCATCTTGCTCCAAGAATTAAAATACACTAGAGGAGAGCACCTGGTCAAACACAACCAGTGCCCTGGTGACTCCAAACCAGGCGTCCCTTCTATGGGCAACTGCCCGCAATCGTGGACCACCGGACTTAAATCCTCTGCAAGAGATCAGCTGGGCCACAAACATCACATTTCTTGTAGCCCAAGTTTTCATTGTGTTAAATGTAAGAAAGGTAAAAAGCAGTGTAAAGCAAGTATGTTCACTGCATCGGAAATAACCGGTCAATGCTTCTCTTAACAACAAAAAAAAAGTCAGGCATATGCATACCTCAAATCTACAGGATATAGAAAGCTTCCATAAAATAAACCTATGAGGTATCACCAACATTAAAGACTTCTTTTATCTGCTATCTAACAGTGCCCTGTGAAGGTTTTTGGGTTTTTTAGAGATATATATATGGTTTTTATATTTATATATGTGTTTATTTCCCTTCAGCTCTACCATGTCACAGCTGAGCGTCAGGAATTCTTAACCATTTCTCAGACTGCAGTACACTTCACAATAAATGTGGAAGAGAATCAGTTATTTCAGAAATAATTTTTAAGTGCCACATACAATTTCCTCCATAAAAATCAGCTTTTAAATAATTGTGAGAACCAAATCTTATTCAGTTCCCTCAAATGTTGATGCAAAGAAACACAAACACTGCCAGCTTGAACAATCCATTTTGCTCAATTAGGAGTGTAAAATTTAGTATCTTGCAAAAACAGAGAAAGTCACAGGAAAAAAGTTACTGGAATCAAGACTAAACTGTGTATTTTAAGACTTCTCTCAAAAACTACACAGCTTTAAAGACACCTCTTCCTCTTTACCCCAAACACCGTAACATCAGATACCAATCAATTATGTTTCCTATATTCAGAGGGCTCACTTATGAAGTAGAGCTTAAGTGTTTCAGTTTTCCTTTGATACAAAAGGAATTAATGAGGGAGCTGGTTGGCCAATATCTATTTTTAATGTTTCTATATTTGATGTAATTCTGTATAGGTGAGCGTGAAGACATATGTAGCAATAAAGAACAGGCAACAGGATGGGAAACTATTAGAAGAGCTGGTATTTCTATGAAAGATTTTGCATCTTGGAAGCTCATGTTTTACTCGTTACTCTCCAAAGGTAATAACATAGCTTAAAGGGAAATTGTAATCTTTCCATATACAAACAGAAACATTGAGTAAGAGTAAGCTTAGTAACCTTCTCATTTAGCAGTGGGTCACCACTAGATGATGAAAAAAATTTCAGATCACTGCAGAGATTCGAGATATGACAACAGGAGTGAAAGACAGCCCAGTCCACCCAACTCAAGGAAGTTAATTATTTCCTAGAGAAAACATTATGGGGGAAGTTTGTTTACAAAGCAACAGAAGAACCTGAAATTTGATACTGCAGAACTCTTCAGTTCAGCAAACAAAACCCTAACAAGAAAGCAGGAACCTGGAAATAGATAAATTCCACACAGATTTTTTTTTTTTCTCTTCTTTTAAAGAACAAAGGCAATCGGCTGGGCAAGCGTTGCTATGGAGACTTCCCATTAAAAATTACAATCCAGAAATAGAAAGTCTATTATTTTCTAAAAGATACTTCAGATTTGATTGCTTTAAAGTAATCTAAAAATACCATTTTTAGCATCATTTAAATCATGAAACAAGAAACACTGACTTAAAAATAAAAAAATTAATCTTGACCTTAGGTTGTATTTGTAGTTTCAATTTTCTAAATGTGATTTAATTTTCCAAAAGATTAAGTCTTGCCAATGTATCACATTTTACTAAATGAGAATAGAATATCTCAACATTTATTAAGGCCTGTGTATATGGTATTTCATACATTTATTCAAATGCCTATATTGTACATTTCCATTACATTGACACAATGAAGATTAACAGATTATTTATCTGGAATTGTGATATCTCTCCTTGCATGTAGATGGAAATTGGAATCCATCTAAATTGTGCAAAAGCATCACTTCAAAATTAAACGTATTAGAACTTCTTTAACATGCTGAATACACGACAGTAAATTTATGAAAGTTATTCTACATTAAAAATGAATTTATTTTTAAAAGGAAGTTTTATCAACAGAATTGTTTCAGACACCATGTGCTTCTAGGTTTTAGAACACCTATATCACACACTGTTTAAGGGAAATTATTAGAAGCAGATTAAGACTTTTTCATTGGTCTTTCCAACACAAACTGCCCTTGGCAAAGACAGTTTTTCTTACCACCGTGAAATAAAAACAGAAACTCCTCAGCATCTTCCCTGGCCAGGCTTTCCAAATTTCATGCATTGACATACACAGCTAGAGACCTCCATCTCAGGACTCCCTTTCTCCATTAACAATTTCACTTGGCATCTCAGGGGGGTTTGTTTTTAAACTTTCCTTCATTTTGAACCTTCACAATTATTTTCTAAACTTCAGATCAGGCAATCCTTGAATTGAACTAGTTGGATAAACAGAAAACAGGAAACACTGCCTGCACCTACAAATGATTCTACTACCAACTGATCACTTCTGCAAACCCTGTCCCACCTGCTT